TTATATGCAAAATGTGTTTGTATTATGCGATACTGGCATTGATAAGCTTTGCCTCAAGGTTGTTGGCATTGATGAGCTTTGCCTGAAGATTAGTATGAATTTTCAGTAATACACCTCTCTCTCTTTGCCTCATCTCTCCCTTCTGTTCTACGTGATTTATTTGGGGAGAAAGCTAAAGAATCTGAATCCAGATAAGAACGTTGTATATAGCTTTTATACTTTCAAGTAGCTTCCTTTGTATGCCAGCAGCAAATTGAATGCTCTCTTATTAAGACTTATACAATAAGTGCATGTAGGAATTGCAAAAAATATTTTAAAAATTTATTACTGAATTTAAAAATATTTTAGAAGTTTTGTAATGGTGGTGTTTTAATATTTTGCATAATTAAATATGTACATATTGATTAGAAAAATATAACAAGCAATTTTTCCTGCTAACCCAAAATGTTATTTGTAATCAAATGTGTAGTGATTACACTTGAATTGTGTATTTAGTGTGTATCTGATCCTCCAGTGTTACCCCGGAGATGGAATTGATGTCTCCATTGTATTTAAACCAAAATGAACTGATACTTGTTGGAATGTATGTGAACTAATTGCAATTATATTAGAGCATATTACTGTAGTGCTGAATGAGCAGGGGCATTGCCCGCAAGGAGAGGAGACCCTTGGAATTGTTTTGCACAGGTGTGTCTGGTGAGGAATTGTTCAGTGTGTGTCTCTTCCTTCCCTTTCTCCTCCTTCCCTTATTGTAGTGCCTTATATGATAATGTAGTGGTTAATAGAGTTTACAGTGAGCTTGCCTTAGGACGGACCAGCAAGCCCCCGTGGACCCTAAGCTGTTCACTGGGATTTATCAGAACAGGATTAGTAGCTGTATTGTGTAAATGCATTGTTCTCAGTTTTCCTGCCGACATTGCAAAATAAAAACAGCAGCTTTTCTCCTTTACCACCACTTCTATCCCTTTCCATTTTGGTGTCTCAGCTGAGTTCTCACAGAAGCATTTTCCCCATGTGGCTCTCTCACTGTGTGTTGCTACCTTGCTTCTGTGAGAATTCAGGAAGCAGGTGAGAGGAGTCAAGCCAATATTAAATATGCATTTTTTTTGTTTTTTTTAAGTATGTGCAATCACTTTTAGAATGAAATTTTTTTTCCTTTCCCATGTGGCAGTCCTTCCTGCAAATAGTTGACATTCCTAGTAAAATATTTGCTTGTTGAAAAAAACGTGTAACAGATGTGTTTATACCAAAGAGCCTGTTGTATTGCTTACCATGTCCCCATACTATGAGGAGGAGTTTTGTGATGCCAGTGGTGACAGTGAGCTAACTCACGGAAAGGTTTCTTAGCCAGTGAAGAATATTAAGAAGGAACCAAAGCCTGTTGAGTCATTGGGCTTTTGAGGTTTCTTTTTTAACAACTTGTATATTCTTGGGGCCCTTCAGTCTGTGAAATTGTCCGTGTACTCTCAGCTCCTGCATGGATCTGGGTCAAGTAGAGGGTACTGGGGATGGGGATGTTCCTGCCCATAAAAGATTTTGGAGAAGAAGGTTAACCCTAAGATATAGATGTATTCCATCTGAATTGAAAATTGTATATTTGAGAGATAAGTCTCAGACTGGTTTTTTGTAGAGATGGTGTCAGGGAGGTGCAGGATGGAGATGGGAGATTTCATGGAGCCTGGTCAGCAAGCTCTGTACCGGGTTGAACACCGAGGAGCTGTTAAGGTATTTGGAGTTTCTTCATTGTACGGAGTAAGGGCTTCCAAGATGGGGCAGATAGTCAGTACAGCCTGCCAGGAACATGTCAGTGTTTTCTCTGTATTCTTTTATCATTATATTGAGTTGTGTTTTCAGCACTATATTGGTCAAGATGCCCAAGCAGTTTTTGTAGTTTCTGTCACTAGTGTTATACAGTTTTCTGGTCGGCTTGTGTGATCTTTGTGTCTCCTTTTTTGCCAAGCACATTCTGATTTTCTTGCTCAAAGGCAGATCTAGTTTCTAACGGAAACATTTTTTGTTCCTTATCTTTTCTCTACAAGGGATAAGATTTGTTGTTTTTGTAAGAAATGAGATGCAGGAAAAAAACACAAAACACTCCACTCCTGGCTGCCCCCCCCCCGCACCCCCCCAATTAGTAGATACATTTAAGATAGGAGTTTTAACTTCACGGGGAAAAGACAATACCAAGAGCTTGTATTGTTACCTTAATCACCTTACTAGCAGTGTGTGGCTTTAAGAATGTTAGAGATTTACAGTCTTAGTCTGCAAACTGGCATTTCAGATTTACCAAGCTAAAAATCCACCTGTGTCTACTGAATGTGTATGTGCTCAGTGTGGCTTTAGATTCTGTTCCTGGGGCTTAATATTGCCAGCCCTGACAGGATGGGGGAAGCTCCGTGAATTTAGTGAACAGCTGGCCTGGATCATGGTGGCCTGACCTCAGACCAGCTTAAAGCTTTTTAAGTCCTCTCAGAACTTGCATTTCCAGCTTCTCCCCTTCAGGGTGAGAGAGAAAGTGGGGAAGGGTCAAGTCCAGCCACTCTCATCAGCTCATCAGAGCACTTGATCACTCCAGAGTTTTTAATAGCTCCCAGGAGATGAATCTGCTGTCAGTGCTCAGCTAAAATACCAGCCCCAGGAATAAGAACTCCATTTCAAACAGTTCTGGCCATCCATCGTCCTCCACTAGAGGGGCTAAGCTTGACTGCCTTTAGCCAGGCAAGCACAGTAATGTGTGTTTTATTCAGCATTATTATGCAAAAACCCACTGATTAGGATGGTTTGTTTTAGGATAGCAAATGAAATTGCCTCTCAGTGACAGGAATGACCCAAGCCTGCTTCCTATTTTGATTTTTTTTTTTAACTGATGGATGGTGCAGCATGTCTACATGGTTGTTTGTTGCTAAACTTTATATAATGTATGGTTTTGATTCAGCTTGAAAAATAATCTCACTACATGTAGCAGTACATTATATGTACATTATATGTAATGTTAGTATTTCTGCTTTGAATCCTTGATATTGCAATGGAATTCCAACTTTATTAAATGTATTTGATATGCTAGTTATTGTGTGCGATTTAAACTTCTTTTGCTTTCTCCCTTTTCTGGTTGTGCACTTCCTTTTACAACAAGCCTCTAGAAACAGTTTCTGAGAATTACTGAGCTATGTTTGTAATGCAGATGTACTTAGGGAGTATGTAAAATAATCATTTTAACAAAAGAAATAGATATTTAAAATTTAATACTAACTACGGGAAAAGGGTCCATTGTGTAAAACATAGTTTATCTTTGGATTCAATGTTTGTCTTTGGTTTTACAAAGTAGCTTGTATTTTCAGTATTTTCTACATAATATGGTAAAATGTAGAGCAATTGCAATGCATCAATAAAATGGGTAAATTTTCTGATTCATGTGGTTGTTTTTGACTTCTGTTTTAGGGATACAAAGGGGATCAACAAATGGCATCTTTGTAGTGTTTTAATACATTGCATCTGAACATCAGTAGAGTATTAGAGACAAACTCATTCTTCACACAAACCTCCACAACAGAAATGAATAGGGGTTGGTAGGGAGCACTTCCCAAGAATGGAGTGTCCAGGGCCCTAACTTAAGATCACCTGGATCTGGCCCTTTGAAAGAGGCAGAAACTTCTGACACCAGCTGATTAAAGTTTATTTTCACCATGTTCCACCAAACATCTAACGTAGCAGAATGAAAATAGTCACAAGAAGACGCCATTTTTCCCTCCTTTCAAGCTGCACTGTTAGAAGCCTAGTCCTTTTTAGAGAAGGAGCACTTCTGATCAGATTTCTCTTGATTCTAAAGTGAATGAAATTTCTCCTGCTAAAGAATTAGAGATTTCTCTAGATTAATCTCTGAATAAATTCGGTAATTGTTTGACTTCTTTTGACACGTGTTTCAGGCCAGAACTACCCTACATTGGCCGTTAATTCATTTTGGGCTCCTGCAGTCATAGTTGGGGTACAGAAATGAGAAATATTTAGAAACACCCTTTTGGGCCATAACCAAGAGAAATGATCAGTAATTTGTTCTCTCCCATTAGTAGGGGAGTCAGAATACATTTATTGATTTAGACTGCAACATATATATTTTTTAGATTTTTTGCATAAACGAATGTAAAATTAGTGTGAACTTGGTGAACACACCCCAGTTTTTGGTAAGAGAGTATACCTAGAAGCTTTCAGACAGAGGGACGCCATATAGAAAGGCTCTGCTGTCAATCTCACTGCCAGGTAATCAAGAATTTACTAACTTCTCAATAACTTGTTTTTGTTTTTTTGTTTTTAATTGTTTTTATCTCAGTTATATTTTCTTCCTTAGGCTAAATCAGAGAGAAATTTGGATAGCCCCTTACGTAATTGGGTAGTCTATGGGGAAATCTGCATTCTAATGATGAAAACCCCTGAAAATTCAATCTGGCTTGCTTGGTGGAGAATTTTCCACATGAGGTGAATAAAGTCCAAGCCTTGGTTTCCCTATTAATCCTAAAGTGACACCAGGTGCTTAGCACAAGATGGCGCTAATGAGCTATAGAAGAAAGGCGTACAGACATGGCCACTGTCGCCTTTTTTTCCCACCTCTTCCCCTCAAACCTCATCTCCACCGCTTCTAGCTTCCACTGAACAAGGCAAAAACAAACAAACAAACAAACATGCTATTATTGCTGGAAAGGCGAAGGATTAATGAAGGATATTTGCTAAGAAGTCAGCACTGGAAGCATTCTAACACATGGGAATACAGTTTGCTGAGTTTTCTCTGGGGCCTCTGCCTCCTGCTGCTAGCTCGTTTTCCTGGGTGACTGCCCAGAAGGCCTCTGTCCTAGGGTTTCCATCTCCTTCCCTCTCCTGGGGAGGCTACAGCCTAGGCAGGAGGTGGTTAAGGCTTCTGGCTGCTCTGCAATAGGGCCATCTGTGTTTGATCAATCCAGGCGGAAAGGAGGGGGTGGGGGCTGTAAAGTGACTGAAAGCATTCCAGAGTAGTGAGAGAGACCCAGAGATCCAGAAAGAGAGGAGGCACCGCCCCCACCCCGCCTCCAAAGCTAACTCACGGGCTTGAGTGGAAGAGGCCGACTGCACACTACTGCACACTCGTTCTCCTCTGGCCCCACTCTCCCGCTGCCATGGGGCCCTGCACTCCTCTTCTCATCTTGTTCCTTTTGTCGTGGTCGGGACCCCTTCAAGGACAGCAGCACCACCTTGTGGAATACATGGAACGCCGACTAGCTGCCTTAGAGGTGAGCGACTCCTTTCTCTTCTAGCCCAGGCTGGAAGGATTCCACATGTGGATTCACCCAGTTTGTCGGGGATCTAGGGATGACGAGATAGAGCTATGTAAGAACCTACAGAAAACTCCATCTTGAATAAGAGGATCCTTAAAGTTGCAAGCCCTCCTCTTTCCCCACATACATAGAGCAATTCTAAAGCGAATAGACCTTGTGCTTTACCCCTGGGAGTAGATGGGAAAAGGGGACAGCGTGGAGATGAGAGCTAGGATTGTGGGGATGTAGCTCAGGACAAGATGATAATTCTGTTAAAGTTGGAAGTTCCCAGGGAATCTGCGACTTTCTGCCTTTTTAACGGTTTGAAGTCTGTAGCATCTTAATTCCCAAGAGGGGAATTGTATAATGGAGCACAGACCCTTTCCCTCTCTCATGGACTTAGACTGCCCTAGAGCTCAGATGACCAGTGGCACTGCTCACAGAGAACACAGGCTGGAGGACAGGAAGTCGGGGTAGGGACTTAGGTGAATCTGAGCTGGGCTCCTTGCACACTTAGCATCTCTGACCATCTGGTTTCCTTTCTGTGGGGGTTGAAGGGGATGTTGATGCCTGGCTGAGTTTGTGCTTTTTCCCATTCCTGACTCCCTGGTTGGGCCTCTCCCTGCCTGGGAGTTGTAACCCAGCAGCCCTCCCTCCCACTCCCCCATCCCTTCAGGAAAGGCTGGCCCAGTGCCAGGACCAGAGCAGTCGGCACGCTGCTGAGCTCCGGGACTTCAAGAACAAGATGCTGCCGCTGCTGGAGGTGGCTGAGAAGGAGCGGGAGGCACTCAGAACTGAGGCTGACACCATCTCGGGGAGAGTGGACCGTCTGGAGCGGGAGGTGGACTATCTGGAGACCCAGAACCCAGCTCTACCCTGTGTAGAGGTTGAGGAGAAGGTGAGCGGAGGCCCTGGGACCAAAGGCAAGGGCAGAAGAAATGAGAAGTATGATATGGTGACAGGTAAGCAGTCTGAGAGCAGACCCCTAACACTCTCAGAACTTGTAGTCTTCCTCAGTTTGTTCCGTTTTTCTCCTTGTCCCAGTCCACCTTGGTTCTATCTTCTGGAATCTATTTTAGGGGAATCTCTGTCAAGACAGTTCCATTAAGGAAAGATTCTGGGGACCCAGGCCTCTGTGGTACCCTTTCTCCCAATCCTTCATTAAGAGTGGAAGCATCCACTGGGCAAATGCCCACTATTCTCCAAATGGCCCACCCGGGAGGGTCCTGAGATGGGCTCTAACTCTTGCCTGTATTTCTTTGTCCTGTGCTTTTCTCCTTCCCCACCAGACTGTGGCTACACAATCTCTCAGGTGAGATCAATGAAGATCCTGAAGCGGTTTGGTGGCCCAGCTGGTCTATGGACCAAGGATCCAATGGGGCCAACAGAGAAGATCTACGTGTTAGATGGGACACAGAATGACACAGCCTTTGTCTTCCCAAGGCTGCGTGACTTCACCCTTGCCATGGCTGCCCGGAAAGCTTCCCGAGTCCGGGTGCCTTTCCCCTGGGTGGGCACGGGGCAGCTGGTATATGGTGGCTTTCTTTATTATGCCCGGAGGCCTCCTGGAGGACCTGGAGGGGGTAGTGAGTTGGAGAACACCTTGCAGCTCATCAAATTCCACCTGGCAAACCGAACGGTGGTGGACAGTTCAGTATTCCCAGCAGAGGGTTTGATCCCCCCGTACGGGCTGACAGCAGACACGTACATTGACCTGGCAGCTGATGAGGAGGGCCTTTGGGCTGTCTATGCCACCCGGGAGGATGACAGGCACTTGTGTCTGGCCAAGTTAGACCCTCAGACACTGGACACAGAGCAACAGTGGGACACACCATGTCCCAGAGAGAATGCTGAGGCTGCCTTTGTCATCTGTGGGACCCTATACGTTGTCTATAACACCCGCCCTGCCAGTCGGGCCCGCATCCAGTGCTCCTTTGATGCCAGTGGCACCCTGACCCCTGAAAAGGCAGCACTCCCTTATTTCCCCCGCCGATATGGTGCCCATGCCAGCCTCCGCTATAACCCCCGAGAGCGCCAGCTCTATGCCTGGGATGATGGCTACCAGATTGTCTATAAGCTGGACATGAGGAAGAAAGAGGAAGAAGTTTAAGGAGCTAGCCTTGGTTTTTGTATCTCTTCCACCTCCATACATTTATATGCTCACTAAATTTCCTGTTCCTCATCCAAATGTGAGCAAGTAGTGGTTCAAATCCTGTCTTTTTAGCCAGTGGAAGCCAAATTCTCATAACCCCTTCATTTCATATGGGACTCCAGATCTTGAGTAATCCTTTTCCAGCTAAAAGAAAGAAAACCCTGACTGTTCACTCCCTCTCTCCCGCCCCACGTCAACAAATTTCAGGCCAGTCAAAGAGGACCCAGACCCAGAGCTCTGACCCTCCTATGGGGGCAACCCCAGTGAACAGGCAACAGAATATTTCTTGCCTCAGTGTGAGTTGGAGAGAGAGAGGACTAGGAGAAAGAGACTTTCAACTCTGCCTCTCTCCCTTCTCCCTTCAGCGCCCTAAAGAATGGGACTTTCTCCACATCATTTTGTATTGCAACATTTTGCATTAAAAGGAAAATCCACTGCTCCTCGCCTGTGTTTGTTTGGAGTAGCCCTCAGATCAAATTTCTCCCCATGACCCTCCATTTTCTTCCTCTACCCCATCTCCACTCCTTAGGTCACATTAAGGGACTTGGATGGGCTCTCTTTGCTGAGGGAGAGGGGACTTCTTTAGTTACCGATTTTACTGTGAGGCGCCTGCTGAGGCGCCTGGTGAGGCGGCAGAATCCCGACACTTTAGGAGGCTGGGCGAAAGGCCTCCCTCCACACCCACCGTCATCTGCAGCAGCCCTCCCAGAACCACCAATGGCACTGTGCCTCTGGCTGCGAGACTGGGGCCCAGGGGCAGAGCTTCCAATTCCAATTCTCAGAGGTTTTGAACCAGAAAATGGATTTTAGTCGCATTGAAGTCTAGTGTGGAAACCAGAGCCCTGAAGACATGTGTTTTTAGTAAGAACTTTAAGTCTCACCTCTGAAGTGGACTCTGCCCCCAATCCCGAACCCCACTCTCATCTCCAGCATCGGATTGGCCCCCAAGGCCGGCTTGCACAATAGTGCTTGGTCTGAACCGCTTTGATTTTCCTGCTGCCACAGCGTCTGCGGTTTGGGTGAGGAGGAGGGGCAAAGACCATGTCCCAGATGTTAGTCTTACCAGTTTCCCAAGACATCCCTCTCTCCACCCTCCTCACCCCAGCCTACCCACCCAGTCCTGGAACCTGGCAGAAGTCTGTCCAATAGTCCTGGAAACTTAACCCTTTCCTGCCCAGTACTCTGGCCTCTGGTTTGGAATTACAGAAAGCAGTCTGGGGAAGGGAGAAGGGACAGGAAGACGAAAACCTGGGTTTTGGACTTCAGCCTCTAGGAATCTATGAGCTCTGTACCAGGCCCCACCCCAGCCTCATCTCCATGCTCAGCACTCCCAAACAGGGCTGTCTGATGGACTAGATCCACGGCTTTTATAGGGAAGTTGACCACAGGCAGCTCTGGAAGTCCTTCTGGTTATTTGCCCCAGTGGGGGACAGGAAAGGAACATGGTCTTCTCCCCAGAATACACCCCTCCTCCCCTCCCCAGGATAGGGTGGATCAGTCAGGGCCCTGTGATCCTCCTTTTGTCTTCTTTTCTTCTCTCCTCAGGCAGAGCGGCTCCTGACGTAGGTTGGTGAGGAAGGGGAAAAGAAAGGCAGTGAGGCACCTCACAAAGGCGCTATTGTAGGGAGCCTGAGGCGGGTGGGGGCTCTCTCCCATTCAATTCTCTGCTAATGTGGGGCTGGCAACAGTAATCACTGCCTGTCAGCCCACAGCAGGGTCTGCCCACGGAACATCTGGCTCCAGCGCACGGTGCACACGGAGGGGTGTGGAGGGGGGAGGGAGCTCTCAGTGGAGGCCTGGAGAGAGGGGTCCAGGCCACGAGGGGCAGCAGTGCAGCCTTGTGTGTGCCTGCGAGCACATGGGGGACGCTTATCTCCTTCCTAGTGTGATGCTGTCAGTGTCTGACCAAAAGCTACTAGAGGGTGGGCTCTGTCTACAGAGTTATCTTGATACAGCACCAGACATCAGGAATGGCTTTTTGACGATCCTGAGGAGAATAGCTCTGAGACTGTGTTGTGTAAATGACATCAGTGCCAAGAGCAGAGTATAAGAACCGGCTCCTTCTGCCTCACGCGTGTGTGCCTATCTCTGTAGCATCTTTCTTTGACTGATTCCTTAATGAGAAAGGGAAAAGCAGCCTTGTTTTGCTGGGCTTAAAATTTCTTTGGAAAAGTTCACTCAGACTTTTCTGAAAGGGAAGAAATCTCTGGGGCCTTGTCATTTATTACTTTTTGCTTTTTTCCTTTTTGGCTCCTGTACAATAGCTAGTGCTATTTTGGAACCGTTTTGAAAGGTGAGTGGAACTGTGTGGGCAGATCCAGTGAACTGTCCAAATTCATTAAACTAAGTTATCTGCTGCTCAAGGAGAGAGCCTCGGTAGCTGAATCCTACCATCCAAACCACGCCTCCCCACTCCTTCGCATACCCTCCACAACCCATCACTTGGCAGAAACAGGTAGGACCTCTGGTTTGCGTTGAACAAAAGACAGTGGAAAGCAGAGGCCCTAATGGGAAAGAGAGCTAAAAGCCCAGAAAGAAGTTCCACATCTGCCCCAACTCCTGGCCCTAAGACAGTAAACAGCTGGGATGGAGATGCAGAATAGCATCAAGAAGCGGGAGGGGTTCACCCAGACTCCGGTCCCCGGAGTTTGGTGCTCTACCTTCCAACCTTTCCTCTTTGTTCTCAATATCCTCTCCTCCCTGGAGCTGGTCTTTGTGTCTGCCCGCCAGAGAAACCAAAGCGCTCATCTTGTCATTTTCATCAAGAAACCCAGCCAATGTTGTCCGAGCCCTGGATGGTGGAGAGGGAGAGGGCAGAGTTGTAAGGAATGAAGTTGTTGATTCAGCTGTCATTGCTTCCTCTGGGACAGGGCTCTGAGCTAAAAAGAACCAGAGCCCTTACCCTTTTCTTCCTCTTCCAGTCTCAGATTTTCTGGATCCCTTCTCAATCCCTCTCCTTGTATAGGCGCCCCTTCCACTGCTTCCCATTTCTTTACCTGGTTTAAGTCAAAACATGCTCATTTGGAGAGCTGTTGAGACCGTCTTGGTATTTCTTCCAGCCTTCAGGATAGGTCTCTTTAGGACCTGCTATCCGGCCTCTCTGTAGCTGCCTTGGCAGAGTGGTCTCTGGTCCAGGAGGGCTTTTCTGTTCCGCCAGAGGGCAGGGGCTGCCCCTCTGCCCTTAGCCCTTGTCAGCAGCTGCAGCCTCTCCTGGTCCCTCTGCCCCAGCAGGCTGGAAGCTTCCTCCTTTACTACCCCAGCCACCAAGGCTGATAAGCTCTCCTCTGCCTGCTCTTTAACTTCTGCTCTCACAATGCAGAGCTTAAAAGATTAAATCTTTATTTATGGATTTAATAACTCCATAGAAGAATGATAAATGTGGAAGCCAATGTATTAAAGGGCAGAGTGAGAAAGTAGGAAAAAGACCTGTCAGCCCCCTCTCTCCAGAACATGGGTTCTGACAATATCTAGAGTTGTACACCTCTCCAGAATACTCTGGCGTGACCTCTGGGGGTCTGCCCAGCCCAAACTCCACCTTCTCTGAGAATGGACACCCTTACTCCCTGGCCATAGCTGTTTGGCCCAAGGGGAACAAATCAGATTCTCTCTCGTGGGGATTTAGAATTGCAGATCAAAGATGTCATATCTGAGAAAGTCTTTGGAAGCATCTTGTGCCCTAGTATTGGGAGGCAGCGAAAGCCAGACTTGCAGAGGGAAAGGGACGAGGCAGACACCAGACAGAAGCAGAGGCAGGAGTGAGAGGGCAGCTGATCCTGGCCAGTGTGCATGTCCTTTCTCTGACCATCCCTTCTGTGGTCACAATACATTTCTAGTTCTTGAGTTCTACAAAATACCTGAATCCTTAAAATAAATACTCCCTTTTCTTGTTTGTTTGCTTTTCTTTCTTTTTCTTTTTGCTCAAGTTAGTATGAGTGGATTTCTGTTTCCTACAACTCAAAGATGACGATTCATCTTCACCTTACCTCCCCACCAAAAAAATCACCCCATCCCCTGGACTGCTGGGCAGATAGCCTTGACCCTTTAGAATGTTCCTCCCTGCACATGACCCCAAGGACTCACTAGAATAATGAAAGAACCTGTGCAGGCCTGTCTTGAATCATTCTACCGTGGCTCACTCAAATCACACCTCCTCCATGACACCTTCTAGATGGCCTGGTCAGTTACCCTTTCCTGGTCTGTTCATTCATGGTGTGTTGTTTCTTTCTCCATCATAGCTTGTAGCACAGTGTTCTCTGAGGCAACCTGACATATTAGAAAGAGCACCAACTTTAGACTCTGGCAAGCTTCGAGTTAGAGCTTCTGGGATTGGAGTCTGGCTCTGCCACTTACTGCTATGATACCTTGAGCAAGTTACCTTGTCTGTAAAATAATAATAATATTTGCCCAATAGTATTGTTGCTGTGAGAATTAGAAACAATATATGCAAACTCTTGAGCGGTGCAGACAATAAGTATGTAGCTCTGAAACCCCACTTCCTTTGGGAGGCTTTTCTGACCATTTCCACTCCCACCCTACAGGATCAGGCGCCTTTCCCTCGGGCTCCAATTTACCCTGTGCACATCCCAGTTGGAGCCTGTATCACAGTGTGTTGTGTCTTGCTCATCTTTGTGCCCCAGGGCCTAACACAGAGCCTGGCTCATAGATGGGGCTTAGTAAGTACTTGTATTTGTGTTCCCCCATTAGACTGTGAACCTTGGAACTCTGGGCATATGTGTCTTCTAACTCAGCTCCTAACTCAGGAGTGGCATGTTGCCAGCAAGCAGTAAATGTTCTTGGTGTCATTTTTCAATTCAATTAGACAAAGACAAGCTACAGGTAAAAACTGAAAGCATTCTCCTTTCAACTGCAGAACGTGCTGGCCTTCCCACAGTGACGATTTCTAACTCCAGCATCTAAGGGGAAAGTCTCAAACTAGGCCAGCACATCTAAGCCCTGTGGCCACAGGGGAAGAAGGCAATAAAACCACAGGAGAGGTAGTGGGAAGACCTTTGTTGTTCAGCAGCTGGCTCACAGCATGTGTTCTGGAGTAGTTACACCTGCTCCCACCCCAGCCCTGCCACTTGCTAGCAAGTAACTTCACCCCTGTGAGCCTCAGTTTCTTCATCTATACAATGTGGGTGATAGTACCGATTTCACAGATTGTTGTGAGAATTAAATGAATAATCCCTGTAAAGCAGTAAGCCCAGGACCTGGCACACAGTAGATGCTTAATAAATATTATTATTGTTATTGTTATTAATACTACCATGATTGCAGAAGTCTTTTCAGGTAGCAAAATGCTCATGCATTTTATCTCCTTTGCTCTTTACAACAATTCCATGAGATAGACAAGTCTCAGGAACCTAAGGATTATAGAGATTAAAATGATTTGTCTAAAGCCACACAGCTAATGTTTCGGAGCCTTGTCTATGTCTTGGAG